GTTCAGGTGCTAACATGGAGGAAGAAACGTAAATCGCATGATAAAGCTCAAGCATTCGAGTCTGTCTCAAATTTAGTGGAAATGTTCTCATGTTTTTTTTTTCATGAATAGTTTGTGTATTCTTTCCGATTTATAATTTTTGCAGGAGCATCGGCCTTCTGATCCAAGTTTCTCTCCCTCTGCTCCTGTTCGCCTCACCTCCGGGCTCCAAATCACGCATGACACTCGGCGGAGGAACAAACGCGGCATTTGCTCCACAAATTGACTACATGACCCACGTTTTTGCACCCGTTGCCAAGAAATTCGGGGTCAACTTTGACATCCGAGTGGAACGACGAGGCTATTACCCACGCGGCGGTGGGTTGGTGTCAGTGGAGGTACCTTCGATCCCTGTGTTGAAATGTGTGAATCTTACGGACATGGGCTCGGTTTTGAGGATCCGGGGAATGAGCTTTGTTGCTGGTGCTTTACCCCTGAAGGTGAGATTTTTCGTAGTTCCGGGTTTTTTGGGGGATTAATTTTTTTCGTGCTAGCTCATATGATGCTTGCTAATCTGTGCACTGGCGGATTTTTGTCCCTATGTGATGTGTTATTTTTGAGTTACAGTATCTTGAGATGACTTGGCGTGCGAACGTGTTTTAATTTGAAGCCTGGTTTTCAATCGGTTGTCACTAATCACGAATTATTGTAGAAGAAACTGTTTTCAATTGGGATTTTGTTTCTCGATTTTTTTTAAGGCTGCCCATGAAATTGCGGATTACGCCACGAGGGCTTTACGAAGACATTTTCCGCCTGATGTGCCAATAGATATTCATAGGTACAAAGAAGCGCCGAGGTTCGCAGTTGGAACAGGATCTGGAATAACGTGAGAAAAATTACATTCGAAATGATGGCAAAAAATTGAGGTTTTTTTTTGCCACCCTGACCCGAAGAAATTCGTTCTTTGGGGTAAATTTATCGTTCCATTATTCCCTGGTTTAATTTTAGTAGTGCCGCCATTCCTCAGAAGAATCGTTTACATTGAATAGTTCATGACTCTTATTTTTCTATGTGTTCCTGTATTTTGCGATTTCTTGACTCATCCAGTTTGTATGCTGAGACGTCAACTGGAATGACTTTTGGAGGATCTTGTTTGGGGGATCGCTCGAAAAGGAACAATGTGATCGGCGAAGAAGCTGCGGAAGAATTGACGGAAGCGTTTTTGGCCAAAGCTTGCCTCGACAAATGGGCACAAGATCAGGTTTGTAACTGGTTCCTCTCAAAAATTATAACAAATTGTTGCAGAATTTTTATTTGATTGTGGGAAAGATATCCTGTTTCTTCTCCGGTTTTTTCGAATCATCTAGCGTTTTTTTTTCATCAGCTTCATTTTTTATCACAGTATTCCCATCAAATTAATAATACTGATTTACAGTATTTCTCCGGTTTCTCCACACAAAAAAAAAAAATGTTCTCCAGTTTTTTAATGAAAATTCCTCCGTCCTCCAGGTGATATTATTCATGGCTCTCGCCCGCGGAAAATCGGTCATTCGCTCCACAAGCCTCACTTTACACACGAAGACTGCCATTTTTGTTGCGGAAAAATTCACGGGGGTATGAATCTGATTTTTTGAATTATCTGCAAACAACAGTTTCGTCATTCTTTTTGATTATCTTTGAGCAGGTTTCATTCAAGGTCGAAGAAGGAAGCAACTATTCTGTGATTGAGTGCGAGGGAATTGGTTTGTGTAACGGGAAATGAACGTTTATTGGTTATCTGAATTTGTTGCGATTTATACGTGATCTGAGAAGCTTCGTTGCGATTTATTTAATTTTATGAATTCACTTTTCTTCCCAGATGTGAGTGTTCAAGCTCGCCGTGAGACTTTATTTGCCCCTTTTTCTTTTCGCTTTCGTCGTCGAGATGGGTTTGCTACCATCTTCGGTTGAAGTGAGCATCGAGATCCTGTTGGACAGAATCGACTGTCCGGGTCTCCGGTTGCCGCACAAGGAAATGACTTACATGAGAATCTATTTGTTTGACGTGGATGTAAGGACTGGTCAGGCTCCTCCGTATCTTCCAATCATCTTCCAAGAACAGTTCAAATTTTCAAAGGTAAACCTTTCCCATCATTTGGATTATTCATTTTGTGCGATGAGTTGCTTCATGAATTGTCTGGCAAGTTTCGCGTGAATTGTTGACGTGGTCAAATTTTACCTACCTTCACTACGGTATTTTATATTGCATCTTAAATACAGTTCTTTGATACAGTGTTCCCCAACCTGGGGTTCTGTGGACTGGCGCCAGTCCACAGGAAATTTTCATCATAATAAATTTACAAAAAAAAAGCAATGAAGTTTGTTATCTTCATCTGAAATTTTGGAAAGACAATGGCAGTTGAAATCATCTGATGAAAAAAAAAGTTGGCTTTTCTCCTCATCACGCTTCTGACAAATGTTTGCCTGCTGGAATAAATTATTTTGATTTTTAATTCTGAGAAACCTCTCTTCAAGCCCACCTTTTTTGTTTTTTTGAAGACTTTCCACTTTATCCGCTTCATTGGTTCTTAACCTAATTTTTGCAAGAAAAGCAGAAACTTTTTGAATATTTGCTGTGAATGTCTTTCAGACAAACCTTTTTGGAGTCTGCAAGCATATTTTAGAAACCTTGCCGGTCTGCAGAAAATGTATTGCAAGTTTGCTGGTCTGCAAAATCTGTGTGGAAATTTTCAAAAAAGGTTTGGGTAACACTCTCTAATAAATGCCTGTGGCATTTATTAGACTGGAGAGGTGCTTATTAACAAAAGTTCAGACTACAAGACTAGAGAAAAAGAAAGGGAAATGGTATAAACCTGGGAGAAAAATTTTAAAAAAAACACACTTTGATGGCAACTTTCTGATTTCATTTTGAAAGTGTTCAAAGTTATTTTCACTAGATATTTCATTTGACTGTTTTCATTTCATTCACAGAAATTTTATGCCATGAAAGACTGGACGGAGTTGGAAGTGATGCTCAGGTTCCAGGCCTTGAATGTGGAGTTGCTTCAGCGGCAAATTGGAGGATACTCAAAGATCCTTGCCGAATATCAGGGTAATGCTTGGGATGTACTCGTGGCATGTAACCATGACCCTGTTGACAGTCCAGTGACCTCTGAAGGAAGGGCCAGACTTGTCATGAAACCAACGGTCCATATGCCAGTAAGTTCTAAATAGTCAAGTCCAAATTCTTGAGTACTTTTTATTCAAAAGCACTTCATTTGTGGAGACTGTCAATTAATAAACTATATTGGACATCATTTGAAAGATAAATTCAGTGGGGTGTCAGCTAACAAATTTAATGTGTTCCTGTGAAATTTTTGTTTGCAGGAATGTGTTTGTTAAATGTAGGAATAATTTTTATTGGTTCCAGAACCTTTATTGAAAGTGCCCAGGGAATTTGAAAATTGACCTAATAATAGCTGACATCCGGGAGCATTTTTCTAGCGAATATAGGACAAATTTCATTCCAAGCACTTCACTTTTGCCTTCACTTGTAAAGACTGTCAATGAATAAACTATATTGGACATCATTTTAAAGATAAATTCAGTGGGGTGTCAGCTAAGAAATTTAATGTGTTCCTGAGAAATTTCTTTTCGTAGGAATGTGTTGGTTAAATGTAGGAATAATTTTTATTGGGTCCAGAACCGTTATTGAAAGTGCCCAGGGAAATTTTAAAATTGACCTAATAATAGCTGACATCCGGGAGCATTTTTCTAGCGAATATAGGAAAAATTTTATTCCACGCTCTGCGCTTCTATGGAGCGTATATCTTGGAAAAATACATAGAAATTACATAAACTGTACTGCGGTTGGGCCTCCGAAAAATTCGAGTCATAGAGATTTGACGGGGGTAAAGCCTTCGAGTAAGGGAGGTTTTTTATGTGTTGTTTTTAACGGATTTCAGCGCTGGACTTCAACAAAAATTCTACGTTAGTAGGTTCGAGTTATCTAAAGTCCAACTGCGTAAATTTTTCATTCACTCAATATTCTCACGACTCATTGGAAATACGGTAACATTTATGTTTCTGCTTGAGAAGTAAGTTGCAATTTTTGTCGTTTCAGACAACGATTGCCCCAGAGTGCCACGTGAGGTTCATGGTCTGCACCATTGGATGGACTCCACCGTGGAGGCCCTATGGTGCAACTGTGGGGGACAAGCCGAGCAAGTCCCGAAGGCTCGGCGACTCGTTACCAAAGGTGTCTTGGAGCAGTATGGAGAGTCTCGCAGGAAGGAACAAAAGTCGGGGCTCTGCAGGCATGGGAGATCAAGTTACCAGAGGAGCCATTGTGTCTGCTGAGATAGACGTCCTCAAGGTGAGAATTGAGTCTGTACATGGCAGGGATGATGATGGAGTTTAGAAAAAGTGTGGTCAGGGTCTTGGAATATGAAGTTTTCTTTTATTTTAGCCCAAGAAAATTTTTATTTCTTCCAAACCCCAGTAAGAACCATGCGTGTGATTATTGAGGCAACACCAATGTACAAAGCAGGAAGAGTCATACAATTATAAGTTGCTGAAGAAACTTTTTATAAGGACTTTGTAATGAAACTATGTTTCTGAAGAGCATCTCTGTTGAGTAGGGTTGGTTCGTAACTAAATTTCAACCATCAGTGAGACCCCCACGTGCGGACACCTCAACATGGGGACAATTTGACTAATGGACATTTATTTTTCGATAAAAAAAATCATAAAAAAGGCCCAAAATAGGGACACTGACTCGACATGACCCAGCAAAAAATTTGAGCATTCATGAACCCATTAGAAACCCATTCAAAAACAGGTCATCCTGCCCATTCAGAAAATGGTCTTACAAGAATCTCTGAACTAGTTTGCTAGTTCAGACATTGCATGATAGAATTGCCAATAAATTCTAGGAAAATTGACTTTTACTAGGCTTAATTGCAAGAAACAGATATTTCCATCCTTAAGATAAATGTAAGAAAAAGTTTTTGGTACTTTTCTCATAACTTTCACATCCATTCAGATAATTAAAAAAAATTTACCTGTAGCACAGAGGGACTTCCTTCTCTTTTTGTGACTTGGATGTCATTTTTACAGATGCCAACATTTCAATGAACTGTACAGTAGTATACTATTCAATGCTCCAAACGTTCTTATTGAGTTGAAAAGATATTCACTGAATCAATTTAAGTGGCGAACAAAAGTTTTTTTTTCATGGAATTCTGGGGGTCTCACTGTAATTCCAAAGTTTGAATTCAAAATGTGATGAAATTGTAGCATTTTATGACCTGAAAATTGTTTTGTGAAATATTTTTGTCATGTGAGTCAACTTTTCAACTCGTTTTTCGTGATGTTGGGAGCCAGTGCACTGACGGAACTTTTATACTGACTCGCGTTACTTCTCAGATTTACCCACAGGTAAATGGGAGGACTAATGCTTGATTTTGTTGAGAAAAGCGGTAGCTGCACATTTTTACTCCAACTATTTCCGTTTTTCCCAACAGGTTTGTTGCAAAAGCATGCGTTACCGTCCCTCCGGCAGAGTGTACATCCAAGTGACCTACCTGGGCCAAGCCGCCTCCACGGTGCCCAAACTGCCGGTGTTCCCTTTGACCTGCGCCGAA